GGCGGTCGAACACCGGCCGGCTGTAGGGCAGGTTGACGACGCGGTCGAGCCGCCAATGCGTCGGCAGGCCGAGTTGGGCATGCAAGAGACTCGAGTCATGGCCCGACAACGAACCGCTGGCTGCAATGTCCATACCGGCCGACTTGTCGCCGCCGGCTCGATCGCTGCCCTCGCCGTCGTCCAACTCGGCCTCGGCCACACTCTCGCCGTTGCCGTTGCCGTTGCCGTCGCCTTCACTCTCTTTGCGCTTGGCATCGCGACCCGTCGTCCGGCGGTCCCCAGCCACCGCCGTCTCCTCCTCCTCGTCGGCCTGTAGAGTCGACGAATCCTCCTCCCCCTCCCCCTCCTCCTCTTCCTCATCTTCTTCTTCTTCTTCTTCTTCTTCCTCTTCTTCCCTCTCCTCCTCTTCCCTCTCCTCCTGTCCGTCGCGCTCGCCTCCGTCGCCATACCCACCCGCCAAGTAGCCGGAGCCCGGAAGTCTGGACGACCGTGCCAACTGGGCCCGACAAGTCGGGCTGGCCACGACGGGCGACGACTCCTCGAGTCCCGGAAAGACTGCTCCCCCACCGCTCACTCCGCCGGACGAGTGGCTGGCAAAGTGGCCCGCCCCCATCGACGGACTGCTGCCGGTTGGCAGGGCGTCGAACTTGCCCACCCCCGAGCTCGACGTGACCGGCACCATCGACGCGGTTCGCAGAGGCGCCGGAGGCAGAGGACGTTGGTTGCGCGACTTGTACTGCTCCGACAGGGCCAGAAGCGCGCTGTCGGCGTACAACTTGTAGCCAGACTCCTTGGAGATACGAGACGCCTGGCAACAGAGCGTCAACAGGTCCTGAGAGATACGAGCATGCACACCGAGCACGTGGCGGCGACAGTCAGCCAAACTGGCTGGGCGGATGTCGTTCTCGAGATCCTCGCGGACAACCTTGACAGAAAAGGGTGCAGACAAGGGGGGAGGAGCATGTAGGAAGGGAGGCATGACGATAAAAGACCCTAGCCTCAGCCGCATGCCACGCAAGTGGCTCCGTCGGTCAATCGATACCGAAGCTAAAAGGTCAACACACATTGACAACCTGACAACCGTGGCATAAGGAGACGAATGTTCTGTTGGTAATGGTGAGAGAACTGGTCAACCGATGAAGTGTATCAATGGACTCAAACATGAAACATTCACACACTGCAACCTGGCCGACCCAAACGATTGATTTGTCAAAGACGACTCCAAACCAACTAACCAAGAGATTCGCTTTTCCACTCGCGAGACTGGTAGGAATGAGCGAGGATAACTCAAATGACCACTTTCCAACGGCCGGACCTGCGATCGAATTAGGCCGAGTCTAGACAAGTCCTGGCAACTAAACATAATTCGTCTCATTCAGCATGACTTTTCGTGTTCCATAGATAGGCTAGGCAAAACGATGAATAAAAAGAATAGGACTCATGAAGAGAGAAGACAATGTCCCGAACCAGTGGTGCACTAGAGGCCAGTATCTCTACTAAACAGGCAACCCTCAGCATGTCAACACCATAATCGAGTTTTCCTCCACTCCTCCT